CTCTCATTTGAGTGAAACATGATATTCCAAGCATAGCTCTTTCAATTCCTCTTTGGGAGACCTGAATAGCGTTCTCATCCTGTTTGCATAGGGCCCAGGTCTCTGAGGTGTATGTTAATGCAGGAAGAACAGTGGAATCAAAGAGATGTGCCCAGAGTGGAAGGTTCTTTGTCCTCTTAGCTATTTCTTCGACGCTCTTGAAGGCGTTCCAAGCCGCTCTCTTCCTTCTGTGCAGCTCGGGTGCCAGGTCATTTGTCATGTTGACTTCTCAACCTAGGTACACATAGCTGTTACATTTGGAGATGGTCGTTCCATTGAGAGCGAATGGGGTGTCAGGAATGAGGCTGTTTCTCATAAACATTGTCTTCGTAAGATTCAGCTGTAATAAAAAAAATAGAAAAGAAATAAAAAGAAATGCTCTGCTTATGGATAATGGGGGAGATGTATGTTCATAACAGATAATGCGGGGACATCTGGGTAGCCTCATGAAAAAAGGAACCTTGATCTCTAGTTTATGCCACATGCAAAAATGATTTTGAGATATGGTATAGGCATAAAAATAAAAGTCAACACCATAAAGGCTAATACCTTTATGGTTTCCTTAGAGAAAATGTCTAGGAGATATCTTCAACAATGGGGAGCAGGGGAAATTTTCTTAGGAAACAGAAGAAGCAACCGCCAATGTGGAAATGATAAGCTGCGCAAGACTCCAAACAAACAATGCCGGTGATGTTATCATAAAACTGATGTTGAGGGAGAAGGCACAGCTGGAGAAAAAGTAGCTGTGATGAGTGTAACTAACAAAAAGCTAGTGAACATTTGAAATCAATTTAAAATTCCTTCAATTCAAAATAAAAAGCAACCCCCCAAATTTCAAAACAGGTGATCACTATGTCTGAATACATAGTGGGTATAACAAAAGAGTGCCAAAATTACAAATAGAAAGCCCAGACATCACTGGACATCAGAAAAACATAAACCAGAGCCATGGTAAGATCTCACCCACATGAGCTGCGGCCATCAGAGGGCTGAAAAGTGGGGTGCTCGGTTAGTTGAACTTGGATTCTGACCTCGTTTCCCCTGGGGTCCCAGAAAGGACCCAGACTTCTGGCAAATTTAGGAGCAGAAAAAATGGTACACTAAACCAGCAAACAGGATTTGCAGAAAAAAAAAAAACCCTGACTTTTTTTTTTCTGCTTATGCTCATTTCCTGGAATTCTAATTCTAATTCTAATTCTAATAATTCTAATTCTTGCCACAGCCAGGAAGGACAAGGAAAATCCTCTTGGTGGCTCCCACAAAGATTTCTCTGGGGATGAAGTACAAGGAGAATATTTTTTGAATTTAAAAATAATTGACAAAATCCTCCCAGAAAAGAAAGTGCCTAAGAAATAAAGTAACGTCCTCCATGCCCACATTGTGACCTCATTCATTTGGATTCTATCTTCTTTGACAGAATAACAAATACACAAAAAGATAGAAAGGGTTAATTCACTTTCAGCATGCCTTACGGGAAGTAGGAAAATGATCTTTTATGATGTGGAATTTGGCTTCATGCACCTCAGTGTTGAGTCTATTGTGTTATATCCTTAGAGATTTTTATAAATATTCATACTTGGAAGAGTTGGACTATCTCTCTTTATTATTTATCACTTGCGCATAATTACAGGACTACAATGTAGAAGAATAAGTACTAAATCGATTGTGTCATCCGCAAAGCACATAATTCAAGCCTATGGACGTAGGTTATAGGTGAGCTTGTTTTTATTCAAACAATAACAACAGCTTTCTCCAGAAATGACATGAGCAAGAGTGAGTTCCATTCTCCTGGACGTGTGTGAGCAGACATTTACTGAGAATATTGTGAAAAGTATTCATGAACTAGTTTGAAAGTGGCCTCTTATAAAGTTTCTCTTGGATCCTTGGTGCTTTATAAAAGCAGCAAATTCAAACAACATGGCCTTGGTGGCAAGTCTGTAGTTCAGGGTTTCTGGACCAGGGTCACCCCGTCACTCGTCTATTGCCAGGATGTTGGTAGGCGCTATGGCAATATATAGTACAATTTGGAGAATGAGATCTTTAGAAATTATTTTTGCAAAGTTGCTTTCTCTAAAGTTGGCTTTGGATTTTGGAAATAGCCACAAGTCCTCAGATGGGACAATAAGGTTGGGCCATTTAAAACAATCCAACAAACAGAAACACAAGTCCAGGAGGATGAAAGGGATTTGCTTCAGCAAGCCTGTAAATGCTACAGGATCGAGAGATTTCTCCCAAGTGGCACTTAGACAATCTGAGCAGCCACAAAAGCATTGGGTGAAGCCACTTTCATCCGAGTGTCCACATTCAAAGCTCTGTCCCACACTCACCAGTTACGATGCTCAAGAAACGAACAAGGGATGGATGAGGGAGAGCATTTCCGGGCTGCAGGAGGTTCTGGCCCATGCTTCTTTCAGTAGGAGGGTTTCACCTTCCATGGCTATCTTTTGGAGACCTAGCCGAAGCTGCATCCTGGGCTACCAGGACACTGCGGGAAGGCTGGGTTGAACCGGACTCTGCTTCCTCACTCTAGGCCGCACTCTGCTCTTTGCTGGAGCAGCAACAAAGCACTTGGAGAGGGCTCTGTGGTTTGTCCACACCCACAGCCCATAGCCATACAGCTGCTGGGCCAGCCCCCTCCTAACTCACCAGAGTGACTGCCTGCTCCGCAGAACTAGGGACAGAAGCATGGCCATCTCGAGTCTTCTAGTATGAGGGGAACGGAGCCCGTCTTCCTTTCAAAGGGGACTTAAATGAGAAATTTTTCTCTGACAACGAGCCCACTGGGTATTAGTGATTCCGGCTAGCATGATTAAGGGGGCTGGAGTTTTTCCTCTTCAACTGTCTCACTGAGTGGGGGAAAAAAAGAGTATAAGGCGGTAAGTTTGCAAAGGAAATGGAGGATGAAAAGTCCAGGAAGCTGAAGACCAGCCTCAGGTGACCTCACAGCTTTGAGAAAAGCAATCCTGTGAGTCTCTGTGCTTCAGATAACTTCTTCATGGCTTCCAGTGTAAGGCTGGAGAAGTTGGGGCTTGCTGGTTGACTTCAAGATGTTTGGGTGGAAGAGAGTGTTATGGTGCTGGCTAGTTTGCTTTGCATCAAGTGTTTTCTCTCTTCCTCTGCCAATTCACCTTTTCCCCATTTGGTGCTCTGGCTGGGGTGGGAGGGGGCGGGGTAGAGAAGGTGGTTCCCTCCACCGCTTAGGGAGCAGCATGAGACCCAGGTCTGAGGCGAGCTATCCATCATGATTGCCTGGACACAGAGATGCACAAGGATGCATGAACCCAAAACATCATTAGTGACACAGGTGCAGGGAGTACGGGGATCAACACAGAAGTCATCGTCGCCAGACTCGACTGAGGGAGGACACAGACTGGAATTTTCACAGCCACCTCGCAAACACTGGGACCCCCCCAAGCCCGGAGTTAGGACCAGGCAGAGCACCAGAGGAGAAAGAACGTGGTCCTGATGCCCTTGCCACTCCTGAATCCAGCAGGACCGGATGCCAAGTTGCTCCTGGACTCTCCGAGTCTTTTTTCTTCCCAATGTTTGGGACTAAAGTCTTGGCAGTGGGGTCCTCAGAGCAATGGGCAGAGATGGGCATCATCCAGACTGAGAGGTGGCCGGTCCCCTCCAGGCTGAGTCCCTCCCCCGGCAGGATATACAACATTCAAGGGTGACACTGGGTGGGCGGGGGGGGGGGGGGGGGGGGGGGGGCGCCAGCAGAATTTCAAACAGGAGGTGGGTGGTTCTTTGGCCAGTTTCTCTGCCACTTCTGAAGGACAGCAACCATGAAGTCAGGTTTCCTTTCAGACTCCCTCTGAGGTATCTCCGGCAGCCAAGAACCAATGTGATGCCAGGATCTTAATGTCACGCTCGTTCTACCATGTGCTGTGATCATGACACATACAACTGGCCTCTGTCATAGAGACCCCCCCAAAGCCAGGGTTGTTCCCTCTCTGCCCACTGCCCTCCCCTATAACCTTTCCTGGGAGTTTTGGAGGAAGATTCTGTATGCCCGTTTCTGACGCCTCCCTCCTAGGGCCTTCTCCAACCATGCCCCCTTTGGTTCAAGACCTTGACCAAATTCCTCCTTGCCGGAAACATCTTCTAAGCCCGGTTCCCTGAGGAGCATCCTAGTGGGGCTGATCAACAGGAGTTTGGCATCTTGAATCCCCACTCGGTGAAGTTCAGATTTCAAAGGAAATAGAATCTGACTGGGGGGGCGGGAAGTCAGGACCCCCGGCCCAAGGGAGGGTGTGGCCTTAGGCGACGCAGCGGGGAGCCTGCGGGTGCGGCTGCTGCTGATCCAGTCTGCGCGTGGCCGCTCCTCTCTTCTCTCCCGTTCCATAAGATGCTGGGGACGCGTGGGGAGAGAGTCAAGGCTCCGTTCCCAGCGGCTCCCCGCCTTTGCCCTTAATCTGGGCATGGGCTCTGGACCCTGGCTGGCACTTCCCAGGGCAAAGCCAAGTCAGCCAGCGAAGGATCTGGGTGGCTGGGGGAGGGGCGGTGGAGAGAGGGGTCGGAGGACTTCTTAGGGGGAAAGGAAGAAAAGAAATTTCGGGTGGCCACGGTGCAGGAAAGGCAGAGGTGCAAAGCAGCGGCCGGGGCGCAGGAGGTGGAGGGAGGAGGAGGAGGAGGAGGAAGAGGAGGAAGAGAGGGAGGAGGAGGAGCGGGTGCCTGGCCGCCTCAGCAGCCAAGACCGCCCCCGAAGCGCCCTGGCACTCGGGGCGCACGTGCGTGCGTGTGCCAGGAGCCCCGAGCCGCGCGCCCCGACGCAGAGGGGCCGCCCCGGGGGTGCGGGGGCAGCCGGGCTGGGCGCGCGGGAGGCGGCGGGGCTTCCCCGGGCTTCCCCCCGGGCTGCAGAGGCGGCTCGGGCTGCCGGGAGCCTGGGGTGGGGGTGGGGGTGGGGGCGCGATCGGCGGCGCGGCGCGAGCTCGGGGTCCGAGGCCGGGGCTGGCTGTGCCCTCCCCGCGCGCCGCCCCCGCCCCGCGCCCGCCTCCCGCCCGCGCCCGCGGCCTGGCGCGCCGCCCCCGCTGCCCGGGCTCTGGGCGCCGCCGAGCCGCCGCGGGAACGCTCCGGCCGCACCATGCGCGAGCTGCTCATCGAGATCGGGGTCCGAGCCTTGCTCTTCGGGGTCTTCGTGTAAGTAGCGGCGCGGTGCGTGCGCCCCAACTTTCTGGGTGGCCCCCTCCCGCGTGGCGCCGGGGCCTGGGTTAGGAGTGGAGGGGGGGGGTCTCTCGCGCTTCACACCCCCACCCCGGGGAGCCGCTTCCTAGGGGGGACCCCGCGGAGACCCTCCGAGTCCCCTTTGCGCAGCGCCGAAGCCGCGACGCCCCCTCGCCCGCCCGGGGGAAGTTTCTCCTCGGCGCGCGCCTTCCAGCCCCCCGCGGCCACTGCTGGCCTCGCCCGGCGTGGACACAACGCGCTCGCCGCCTCCCGTGTCCCCGACTTAGCCGGGGTCCTGGTGTTCCCGGGTGCCTCGGCGGCACCTCCCCCGGCGGAGAAACTGTTGCTGCGGAAGCCCCGGGAACCCGAGAAGGGGGAAGGGGGAAGGGGGGCGCAGAACGGGGAGCGGTGGGCGCAGTCCACCCCGAAGCCCGGGGGAGATAGAGAACCCTGTCCCCCGGCAGCGACAGGGTCGGGGGGTCGGGCGCTGTGAGGGCGGCACTTTCAAGAGCTATCCTGGAAGGAGGAGGGGGTGCTGGTGGTTCCAGGGATGTCTGCGCCCCCAGACGCCCCTCGAGGACCCCCTCACTCCCCTCTTTGCTTCTGGCGCGCCAGCCGCAGGGAGCTGCCTGGCTGCTGTCAACTCACAAACATCCGCACCCACCCCCCAGATCTGTCACCCTGGCAACCCTCCTTGGAGGGGTTGCTCTGACCCCTGGCCCTGGCCCTCGCCCGGGATGTCTCTGACACAGCTTGCATATTAAAGTTGCATGAACTTTCTGGACGCGCCCGTCCTGTCGGTTTTTTCTTGGTTTCTGCGAAATCGACTCCGGCGTTCCAGAGGTAACCCCCGTTCTGGGTGTCTGACCTGCTCCCCAGGGCCCGTGCGCCCAGCCTGGGGTGTCAGGCTGCTGCCGTTCCTGTCCCTGTCCCCGGGTGCACCCATGGAGAGCTGTGCTCTTTCTGGCATGTTTTTCGCTATTAGGTATGAAATTCATTTCGAGGATTGATTCACACCATCCGAATCGTGAGTTTCCCCAGATGCAGGCCCCTTCTCTCAACCTCTGACTAAACACTGGTGTTATTCAGTGGGAAGCAGGAACGGGAAGAACTTTCCTTGGATTCTGAAGCAGTGGGGTGGGTTGAGTGAGGGGAAGACAAAGCTTTCTCCCTTCTGCTAGCTGATTGTTCTGTGATCAGGTGGGGGGATTGGGGAGAGGCATTTCCAAAAGGCCATTTCCAACGGGCAGATAGACTAACACCTCTCTTAAATGATTATGTGCTGGAAATGATGAAATCGGGCCCCACGCACAGCAGAATGCAACATGCATGGGGGGGTGGGGGGAATGTTTGTATTAAGTAATACTGAAATAAAGTGAGGGAGGCAGACTGGCTAATTTGAAGGCTTCTGTGAATTCTCAGACCTGAAAAATGAGGGTTCAATAATTGGTAAATATCTTATCGTTTCCACATTTCCCTTCAAATACTCCTGCAAACATTGCTGAGATGTTTACAGATATACAGTGCTCTGTGCAGTGGATGTGCAAATGGGATAATTAGCGTCTTAGGTGCTCCACTTCCTCTAAGGATGTTATGTAAAAAAAAAATAGCAGACATTAATAGTCTTATCTCCAAACTTCCCCTTTGTCTGAATTATTTAATGAGAGATCATCTGTCCCTGGCCCCAAAGGGAAAGGCTTAAGCTTTTAGGACACTCCTGGACAACTCCCTGTCTTTGGGACCCAACCTGTGACCCCTTTGCCCACAAAGGCCTGCCCAGGAGTCTGTTGGAGATGCCTGGGTGGGGGGAAATATTGACAGCTCAGATGCTCTATCATTAGGCAGATAAGGACTTCCGGGAGGGAGGACCAGCTCAGAGCTGTAGATACAGATGACCCTTTGTTTGCTCAGACAGGCTTCTGGCCAGACAGAGCCTGATTTGGGGGAGGAGTTTTATTCCTCCTTTGGCTAGCACTGGCCCGCTGGCAAGAAGTACATGGTGGCACTTCTGCTCAGGGAGATAGAGCCTCAGAGACAGAATGGCACCCAGGTAGGGTGGGAAAGTCCCTGGTGGGCAAGCTGGACTTAATTTCTCTGCAGGTGGACCCAACTTAGCTAATGTAATCCATCTTCTAGTTCCAACTGGTGTTTCTACCCTATTTGTCAGAGAAGAATATTGTTTGGGGGATGTGTGAGGGATGTCTCCTCACAATTGCACCTCTGGGGGAAACAGTGCAGGTAGGTACCCGGATTCCCTGACTACATCGGCTCTAGATGAGGACAGTGGTTCCCGGGGCTGATGTCTGTAGTCACTACTGACTCCCCGTCATCAGTTTTGATTCCAGCAGCACTAGGAATGACCCAACCTCTTGTTCCTGTAAGCATCTGGGTTTAAGTGTTGAGGTTCAGTGCTCCAGAACTACAAGATGGTGCTTGCAAGCAACCCCCCAACCCCCAGGGACTCAGGATCACTCAGTGCCTTTGTGGGGTATCTGCCTAAGAACTTCAAATCGCTAGAAAGAACATGAGGAATGAGGAATGCAGATTGGAGCTGGCACATGAGGTTCGGTCTACCAGGAAATAAATGAGAGGAAACTGGTGTTTAGGAAAAGTAAAAGGCAGAATGTGGCTTGGAGGCTGCATTGATTCCCGGGACTCTGGTGCTGATCTGGGAGGAGCTGCCAGTGGCTTCACACCACTGGGTTCTGTGCAGCTTCCTGATCAGCCCCAGCATGGTGCCAGCCAGCCCAGTTCCTGAGCAAGCTCACTGGATGTTGAGTCAACAGCCCTAAAGACCAAGGGCACATTCTTCCCAGACAGGTCGTAGGATAGTGTTTCATGATCATAACATTAATGAGAAATAAACAGTCCCTGCTGACAGTTGAACCAAAGGATGTTCATTACACATCTATTTTCTAGCTCTACCCAATCTCTTTTATTTATTGAATCACTGTGAGATACAGTCACATACTTTTATGATTAAGTTTCAGTCATACAATGATCGAGCACCGATCCCTCCACCAGTGCTCATTTTCCACCACCAATGCTCCCAGCATCCCTCCTGCCATCGCCATTCCATCCCACCCCTTGCTTCTGTGGCAGGCACCTTCCTTTTTATGCTCTCTCGACTTTTGGGCATTATGGTTTGCAATACAGATACTAAGAGGCCATTGTGTTTGATCCTTAGTCTACTTTAAGCATGCATCTCCCATCCTGAGAGAACCCTCCAACCATCATTTACTTAGTGGTCCCTTCTCTATCCCAACAGCCTTTTCTCTCACCACATGAGGCCGGCTGCCAAACCGTGGATCCTCCTGGCCCTTGTCTCTACTGTCCTTAGGTGTTAGTCTCATATTATGTTAGTTTACATCCCACAAATGGGTGCAGTGATTCTATGTCTGTCCCTCTCTCTCTGACTCATTTCACTTAGCATGGTACTCTCCATGTCCACTCACTTAAAAGCAAATTTCATGACTTCATCTTTTCTCATAGCTGCATAGTATTCCATTGTGTAAATGTACGAAAGTTTCTTTAACCAGTCATCTGTACTCGGGCGGTCATCTACCCAGTCTCCTAAAGAAAGAACCCATCCATGACAGGACATGGGCTTCAGGTATTAGCCTGCTGTTCCCACTTTTATGACCGTGGATTGTCAAGTACCTAGTATTTAACGAACAATTCCTATGTACCAGGCACAGCCATAGGTCAGCCTGAGACCATCTCACTCCGAAGTGAGTCTGGTGGAGACTGTGCCTTGGTGTTTCTGTCCCTGACTGATGAGACAGAAATTCACAACAGATTCAGGTACCGCCCCCGTCAAAGAACGAAGACGTGCATCCTAAGGCCGAAACTGCGGCAGTATGTCAGCCGTGTGGGTGGATGGCGCACTGGGACCAAAAGTCTCCCAAGCCCTTCATCTCTATACCCAGGGAACGTAAGGCCGATCCTCTTCACGCTCCCACTTCACACAGAAACCCAGGCTAGAAAGAGTCAGTACTTGCCTGAAGATGCTCAGCCCTGCCTCTTGAATCCCCTGCCCTAAGCTAGAGCCAGTGAAAGGTGTCTGCCCAGGTTTTCGAACTGGAGGGAAGGGGATGCCCCTTGTGTGGGGGTGTCCTGTGACCCATCACTCACCTTCTGAAGGGCAGAGTGGGAAGGGAGGGGAAGCTAGTTTTCAGATCAGACTCCAGGGGCCCTTTAGAAAGTGGAGGGTGGCCTTGGGGCCTTTCTTGGGTCTTTGGAAAGCAGAGGACAAGGTGTCAGGGGGTGAGCTGGGGAGGTCTTGAGAGACTTGACCTGCTCTGTCCTCTCACCCCGCTGCCTGTAGCCTTCCAGGACACCAGCCTGGAAAAGCTTTACTTATAGCACAGCTCACAGACCCTGGAGGCTGAGGGAAGGGGGGATTGCTAGTCGACAGGGGGAATCTGAAGATTTCCCTGGGACGTCTCTTTCTGCCACCTGTCTCACCTCCTGCCAGCTCCTGGAGGCTCCCTGTCCTCCATATCCACCAGCTGGGCTCTAACTCCTCCGTGGAGCACCTTCCTGCCTGTACTAGATGCCGGGTGTGAGGACCAGCAGGCGAGGACAAGGGACGCTGACTTGCTGATAGCCAAGCATATCTGGTCGCTTGCTCTTTCCCGAGTAATTGCTTCTTTGTGAGTTTATTTTACTTGGCTCCAGTCAAGAGAGATGCTCTGGGCATTCATTCCTCCAGGTACCTGGTCCAGGTGACTGGCTTGAGGTACTGACCCTCAGGTGGATGTAGACATGTGGAGCTGATTTTTCATGAACCTGAAGAGGCCATCCTAGGACTTGGGGAGGTGTTTAATGCCTAGAGCTGAGTTTTTTCCGAAAGGATCAGCTGGTTCTGGGAGGAGGAAGGAATAGGAAGAGGAGGAAGAGGAGAAGGAAGAGGAGGAGATTTGAGGCAAGGCAGGCTGGGCAAAGTCAACAACTGCCCTGGACCTTGAGCACTG